AGAGGTTTTGCTATTCAATAGAATTTGTAGTTATTCAATTTCTTATGTTATTGTTATATTATATTTATCTTTATCTAATCCATTTTATCTTACTTTTCCCTCCTTATCTTTCTTCTCTTTTTAGCACTGATATCATGAATTGATTCATGTTAGTCGACCCCAAATTCTTTTGGGATTAAAGCTCAGATGTTGTTGTTGTTGTCGTAGTTGTATTTCCTCCGCAGTCCGCCCCGCTTAAAGGTTTTCATATTAAATTAAAAAGACACAATTATTTAGACAATAATTAAATAAGGTTATTCTAATAGTGTAATTAATACCATTAATTAGGTTTCCTATTTGTTGGATAATTGATACCCATATCCTATAACTAGTGAGAGTTTTAACAAGAGTGGAGAAGAAATGATGAAGAAGAAGATGAATAGTGTATAGAATGAATATTGATTGTATGAGTTGAGTAGCCTCCTAAAGGAGTATATATAGGAAAAATCCGGTTCTGGGCCTCTAATATGGGCCTGACAGACCCGATTACATAAATGAACTGATAGTATAAATAACTAATCCAGAATATCTGAATAATAATAATAATAATGTACAATAATATGAATGATATCCATTAAACGTGTGTGGGCCGCTGTCCAGGCCCAGTAGTCGGCAGACCAGGGGGTCGAAGTCCATATATTCCATCAGGAGTCCCCCACTCCCTGAGTCGAGAGTACTCGAGGCGAAAGGGAGTAGTCCAAACTGTATCTGCAACGTTCTTTTGTCTTTGATTTCTTCCTTTCCGGCCGGGGACCACCACCCTTGTCCATGATGGGGAGGTGCCTCATTAAAAACCTTTACTAGGAAAAAACCCTATGGGAAAAAATCCTAATAAAGGGAAAAAGAGTACACCTAACGCCCCCAACATGAAACAAGGAAGGTAGGCCCCCTCCAGCATAATCACTTTTGTGTAGCTCAACCTGTCTTCATCTGACTTAGCTCTCGTTCTTGCTCATGCGTGATATCTGCTGTTCATCCAGAAAATCTGACTTCTCAATCCCCCAGTCCCCCACTCGTTGAGGCGAGTGGAGACGAGGTTAAAAATGAGTAAAATCATTTTCGTACCTACACATTTAAAATGCATATAAAATTTTTCCTTGGGGTTTATGTTTCCGATCGGGAGTTCGTCACTTGAAAAAAGTGGAAATGTGAATTGTCGATGTAATGATAAAATACTTAGTAGAGTGGATGCGTGAGCCATTCGTACGCAACGGTCGCCATTCTTGGAATGACTAAGACCGGTCTTCATGCCCGACTTGGTCGGGGTTTTGTGCCTGACTTGGTCAGGACTTTGTGCCTGAGAGTCAGGGCTTTAAATCCTAGTGATGGGTCTCAAGCCACAGTCTACTAGGCATTTGATCATAAGTACGTGATAGTGTGACATTCGCTCGAAAAAAGAAATGATTTAAATAAATATAAAAAACATGAAAATTGATGAATACTTATCTTTGATGGACTGAAATAATCTGGTGGGCTTGGCAAATAGAGTGTCTGGGCTGATCCAGCAGTTGGGCCTATACTGTTGAATAGGTCTGGGCCCGCTGATTTAGAACTTGGCTTCCGAAAATGGGCCGGAATAAGGAGCATGTGTAGAAATTAGGCCCGTGAAACACCTTACCCAGACCGGCTCATCCTTTTTCACATGGCCCAGGCATGCAAATCTCCCTTACCACAGAGATAAGTAAATCCTCTTTCTCACATGGCCCAGAAGTGCAAATCTCCTTTTTCACATCTACCATACGACCGGCCACTGCTTCTAAGACTTGTAGATTTTCATGGCCAGACTCACTGCCGCCGGGTATGGAGACCAAAGAGAGACATCAGCACGGAGGCGGAGTAGCGGGCTAGTTCAGCGACTGGTGAGCTGCTGCATAGGGGCGCCTCCAGCTTCCACCGTGACTGGCAAGCTGTTGCGGCTGGGAGCTCCAGTGTCGATGCGAATTTTGTAGCCGACCTGGTTCCGGAAGAGAACAACGGCCAAGGCGAGCTCTAACAGCATGAGGGTTCTGGCGGATCTATGTAAATCCAGATCCAGAAGTTGCAGATCCTCTCTGGCTGGCGAGATTTGTGGCATCGGTGGCCTGCCGGTGGCGGCGATGCGAGACCAGAAGGGTTTGCGGTGATGATAGCAGGGTGCCAGGGGTCGTGGGTCGATCTCAACATCAATGCGGACAGCTGGGTGGGCGCAGATCCGGACGACAATTGCAGGTCCGTATCCCTCGCCAGGAGGTGCTAGACTTCAGCTGGTGCAGCGGCAACATGCTTTTAGGTCAAAGGTCTGTATCTCTACGCCCATGAGCTTCAGTACGCCATTAATGGCGGATATTGTTCATGAGGCCATAGAAAGACAGCGATCCGCGAAGGAGGCATATGAACGAGCTAAGAGCGACAGGGGTGGAGCTAGTTCGGAGGAGGAGGAACGAGCTGTTTGTCGCCGGACTTTGAGTCGCATCTAGCCCCTCTGACCACGTGTTGCTCTAGTTCACCCCTCAGATTCTGCCGGGATTGCTCCAGATCTGCATAATTCTAGATTTCTGTTTTTCTTTTTTCAGACTGATTTTTGGTGGATTTTTCTATTTTGGATGAATTTTTGGGGAGGTTTTCTCACTTGATTGTGTTCAAACCTCTCAATGAAAGCACCATTGTTGGATAATTGATACCCATATCCTATAACTAGTGAGAGTTTTAACAAGAGTGGAGAAGAAATGATGAAGAAGAAGATGAATAGTGTATAGAATGAATATTGATTGTATGAGTTGAGTAGCCTCCTAAAGGAGTATATATAGGGAAAATCCGGTTCTGGGCCTCTAATATGGGCCTGACAGACCCGATTACATAAATGGACTGATAGTACAAATAACTAATCCAGAATATCTGAATAATAATAATAATGTACAATAATATGAATGATATCCATTAAACGTGTGTGGGCCGCTGTCCAGGCCCAGTAGTCGGCAGACCAGGGGGTCGAAGTCCATATATTCCATCACTATTTTAATCAGATATATTTTATTATATATATGACATTCAGGGCTACCACATTGGTAAGCCATTCCATTATTCTCACATGGTATCAAGATCTCTAGGGTTTCAGCTAGTGATTTTTTTACCGTTCCATGGCCTCTCTAGGCTCGTCCACTGCAGCCACCGATGCCACCGCCACCACCGTCGTAAATTCTTCAACGTCGGGAGAGCAGCCGGTCTTCAGCGCGACACAGGTTAGCCCCTCTATGTCCGGATCCGGTCGTCGATCGTGGATGAGGATTGGTCCAGTCCAAGAACGAATCACCAAGTTCCCGATGCAGTTCCGCCATCTGGGCCGAGCTGGGGACTTGCTGATTAGGCCGTTGGACGAATAAGCGAAGAAATAACTAACACAAGAATAGAAGGAAAAGAATGATCTTTATTCTTCGGCTCTACCGCCCGGGAAAATACAACAAATAATAAGTCAAATACAATCACAAGAGGAGGGATGTATACGTATACATATTATCTGGCCATTTGGATGCATTACTATGTTCAATGTGCAGATAATAGATTATAATCGGGACGGCCCGATATCAGATGATTCTCGTTCTCAAGAAGTATCATGATCTTGTTGTGTGGAAGCACAAGCAACCTGACATCCGCCGCCATGAGACGAGCATCACGGCCGAGGGCCATGACACGAGCATCACTCGCAAGCGCCCGAGAGACGAGCATCATGACCGAGGGCCATGAGATGATCGTCATTCACCTAGAGGCCGAGGGCCGAGAGACGAGCATCACAGTCGAGTACCGTGAGACGAACACCATTCACTCGGGGGCTGAAGGCCGAACATCTTTCACCCGGAGGACGAGGGCCTAGAGATGACCATCACGACCGAGTACCGTGAGACTAACACCACTCGCCGAGGCCGAGCATGATTTATTTAGCCAAGGATGAGCATCTCGGCCGAGGGCCACGAGACGAGCATCCCTTCCCCAACCTGCCGGGCTCACCCATTCCCTTCAAGGATGGGCACCACCGCTTATGCAGCACGATCGACCCTCAGCATCATCGTTCATTACCGTCATCACCACGTGCCACCCCCGCTGCCGCATGCCGCCGCCTCTACGTGGTTATCATACGAAGACCGTTTTCATCCACAGTAGGGTGTGCTGTAATCGTTCTAGATTGGCTCAATCAGAACTCGGCCCACTTACTGTCTGGGAGTAGGGTGTGCTATAATTGTTCTTGATTGGCTCAACCAGAACTCCGCCCACTTAGTGTCTAGAATTAGGTTGTGTTGTAAGCGTTCTGGATCGACTCAATAAGAACCAGACCCACGTACTGTCTCAAAGTAAGGTGTGATGTAATCGTTCTTGGTTGGCTCAATCAGGACTCGGTCCACTTACTATTTGGAAGTAGGATGTGATGTAATCGTTCCTGATTGACTCAATAAAAACTTGTCCCACTTACTATTCAAAAGGAGGGGTAGACACCCACACATCTAGCAAGACTACTTGAAGACACACATTCATGGAAGAGCGTGAGCAAGAGTATACTTTCTCGAGCAGATTCACACGCACACTATTCAAGAAACTGGAGGACTTGAGTTAGGATATATTATCCCGATCCAATACTGTTCAGGAGCACAAGACATCGCCCCAGTGCGGAGCCCGAATGACGAGGCTCATTTCAGCCTATCGGGCCTGTTTCGGCCCTTTGGACCCATTTCGGCCCACTCGGCCATTAGGGTAGACTTATCCCCTACCCCCTTTTCCCTATAAATAGGTGGTGTAACACATTATGTCCTCTTGTGGATGAACATTTAAAAATAGGGAGTATTAAATACACATCATATCTAAAATTTGTTTGGTATATATGTCGGTAGATATAGAGAGCTAAGCTAAGGTAGCTTATTGTGAGTGCAATAATTTAGCACTAGCATTTGCCTAATCATTGTTGTAGCCCTAAAAATCCGTATTTAATTAGTGTGTGATAAGCTCTTTTGTACCATTTGCACAATTGATAGATCCACCCACCCCAGCTCTTACATTCTCCACTAATCATCATCATCATCTTCCTCTTCTTCCATTCATGATCTAGCTAGCTAGCTAGGGTTTTCTGTCACATAAATTTTAGTAAGGTGTAACGAATGAACTTCCAAGCAAGAACGACATATATATATATATATATATATATATGTGACAGACGAGGTGAAGTGAGACATAGGTAGCTAGCTTCCTTGGAAAATCGAACCCCACACTTCCTTGGAACAATAATATAGTCAAGAATCAAACCAGAAAGGTATGTACGTACTATAAGTAGTCTACTAGCTGCACTTTGAATTGGTATATATGTGTTTGAAATTAAATCCTCGATCATATGAAGCATGGATGGAATTGAAAACCCTTAATCGTGACTTTCTAACATATACATATATAGCCCATCAAGTTTTAATGCGCCAGGACTGTACTGATTCTATGTTGATGATTTTCTTTTATATCATATCCCGGCCTTATATAATACTCGTACTCGTATGAAATCAAACGACCATTGAGAATCAATCCTTTCGTACAAGATTAAAACTTATTTTTAGGCATGTCATATATCAATCTTGTGAGATCGAGATTTTAAGATAAATAATTAATTAGTTGTTGGGAAAGTTCCCAAAATAGAAGTAAATATGTTATGAATTCAAAAATAAGATTGTTATGTTAATCTTCTAGAAATAGGAGTAACATGTTGGAGTTATTATTGTCAAAATAGTTGCAATACTAGGCATTAACATGACAATATTCATCGTCATTATTGATAGTATTTGTCAATCATGACCGAAAGTAACGACTTGTATTTCGAGGAAAAAAAGCATAGCAGAATTTCAAAACTTGTTTTAATCTTTTTTAATCTTTTTTAATAATCCTTGAATGATCACACTTAGTATGAAGTTGATCTTCACCGATTTCGATTATCAACGTACACCATGATATTCGGGTCGAGTTTATATACTTGATTGAGGGGTTTGGGAGAGAGGAAAATAAACGACAGCTTGAATATTAAGAAGCAATGACACACCCAAAAGTTTAAGGAGTAATTTTTTATCACTTTAAATTTGTTTCATTCTTTTTTTTTTTGCTTTAAAAAGGTTAAATGTAAACAAGTAATGTTTAAAACAGTAGGGAGCTCAACCGATTATATATATGGTCAATGAGCTAATAAAATCGGGATGATATTTTAAAGTAAAAACATGATAATATTTGTGTAGATGTTCTACAGTCATATGTGTAAAAATTGCACCATTGTATGCAAATACAACATTATTAAGCGTCAAAGGTGCATGAGATTGCTAACAAAATGTACAAGTTGATACAATCCATCCATGCATATTATTATTTTGCATGAGATGAGCATGGCGAAGTCAGGAATGACAAGTTAGGGAGGGTGGAGCTTAAAGAATTTGTATAACACGACTCAAAGTTTAAATTTTCACTATATTTTTTACTACTTATAAATATTTATACATATGTATATACATCACATTTTTTTTCTTGGGCTGAGGCCCTGCCAGCCTCCCCCGGGGATGAGTGATTTTCACTTTAATAATCCATATATATATATATATATATATATATATATATATATATATATATATATATATATATATATATATATATATCTTTAAATAAAATTTATGTGATGGTGCTATATGAGTATCATATACTCCCTCCATTCTTTATTAATTGTCTCGCATTCTTTTTTGGGACGTTTTTAATTATTTGTCCCTCTTTCCTTTTTTTTGTAAGTTTTTTCAATCAAAATACCTTTATACCCCCACTTTTATTACTATTACCCCTTTCTCTTTCCTACTTTTTCATTTATCCACAACCCACTACACCTTTTACACTACCCCTATTATTTTCCTCTTAAAACCCGTGCCAAAGCCTAAGAGGACTCATATTTAAGAACGAAGGGAGTATGTAGCTAGCTAGTGTATATAGAAACAAATACCACCTCCGTCCCATAAAACTTGGTCAGCTTTCCTTTTTTGGACGTCCCCAAAAACTGTCATTTCCATTTAAAGTACTCCCTCCGTCCCCCTAATATTGGTACGGAAGGGAGTGGTGTGGTTTTTAAGAAAAGTAGAATTATGTGATTGGTAATGAGTTGATAAAGTGGAAATAAAGTAAGAATGAATTAGAGCCACACAAATGTTACTAAATATGGTATGGGACAATAATAAAGGGACATCCAAAAAGGGAAAAATGGGACAATTATAGGGGGACGGAGGGAGTAGTAAATATGTGACTAAAATTATTTCTCACTCCTCTACACAAATATCAACCACACAATGTTTACTTTATTAATCTACGTGCAAGTAAATATTGGCCAAGTTTTATGGGAGGGTGGGAGTATAAAGTAGTGTGGGTAGCTATACTTGTTTTGCGGAGGTGTGCATGAGGAATGTCGGGTATCAACCCATAAAAAGGCTTAGAACACGGAAGTCCACATGCCCCAACCCAACCCTACATATTCTGCCCCGGCCCCAACCTACTTTGCGTCAGCTCCTTATAACCAGAATTGAAGCCGGGTGGGACCAAATTAATGTTATGGGTGTTGTCTACTTAAGTATGTGATTTACTTATATAATTTTGTTTTAATTACTCAGTCAAATAGATGCCGCGCGCAGAATAGGCCGGGTCGACTCAGCTCATCGATCACTCCATTATTACATCTCTATAAATATAAATATATAGATGTGAGAAATTGGAGTTCTATTCTATTTTTTTTTTTGATAATCCAGGTGTCGGAGCTTACGCTCCCATAATCCTGGAGTCTATGAACTACCCTCCAAATCCCCTAGACAGTTAAGTCCGGATCTGATCACAGTCAGCTTCGTCAGTACTGGCTCCAAAGGACGAATCCAGCAGGACTTACATCACCTTTCAGGCTGCTCCTCCCACCACACGAACCCGCTACCTTCATTACCATCCTCTCTCTTCTCAGCCGCTGAGCAACTCCGTGAAGGTAGGAAGAATCATTGGGAGCAAGACCTCCCTCCTCTCCCCTAAATGTGCCTAGCGGGATTCGAACCCGAGACCTCCGCTAGGACACGGTAACCTTCCACCCAGTGAGCTGGAATGGTTGGTTTGGAGTTCTATTCTATATGATGAGAGCTAGTATATACAGCGCGCACTCCGTCTTTATGAATCAGAGTGTGATGATTCACTTGTTTACTTATGTTGGTCCAAAATATGACACTCGTAGGCTTTTAGGAAAGCTACTTATGACACTCAAGCGGGAATCAAGAAAGTAATATGAATAAGAAAAGTTGCAAAGGGGATTTGGTAGCCAGAAATAACATATAGAAGTTGCTTCCCCTAATCTGAATTACAACCCACCTTTTATAGGCGTATACAAATCGTAACCGTTACCGATAATAATGACTAATTAATTACAACTTAATACAGAATTAAATACATAATTAATAGCTCATTAATTGTTCGACCGTTACTCTTCCGGGCTAGGAGGTCGGCCGGACTGGCAGGCTCCCCGCCGGGCTGGCAGGCAGGCTCCAGGTTATGGACTTGGATCCATGGGTGCCAGTTCAGGGCTTGGGCTGATTAGGCTCTGGGCCTAGTCCCATTACTCCATCACGAGTCCCCCACTCCCTTAGTCGAGTAGTAGACTCGACTAAGAGGGAGTAGTCCAAGTCAGTTGCTCTTCTCCGAGACTAGAAAATCCCCGCCCTTATCAATGTTGGGGAGATGCCTCATTAAAAACCTTCATTAGGAAAAAACCCAATGGGAAAAAATCCTAATGAAGGGAAAAAGAGTACATCTGACGCCCCAAGATGAAGCAAGAGGTGAGATCCTCAGCCTTTATTGCAATGATCGCCATTTGCGAATAGGATGGCTAGAACTGTTCTTCTCGTCGGACTCAGACTCGTCAGGTTTGTCATTTGCTTCCTTGAAGACGGTATGACACTCAGTCCCCCACTTCATTCAGTTAACCTACACATAAAAGAAACTAGTGTAGAATAGAGCATCTGGCCTGGTGTCGAACCACGACTCGGTGTGTAAGTGAGTCAGACTCACTATTTGAAAAGAATGACATCAAGTTCCCAAGTTAGGCCTCAACCCAGTCTCCGAAAGAAAGATTGAATCCGCGAGTAAGTGAGTCGGACTCCTCACTCGAATGGATAATCCAACCCCAAAGAACTAAAGTATATCAACATTTTCGAGAAATGTGAATGTCAATTAAGTGACAAAATTGCTCGGAAGAGCATGGCTCTAGGCCCCTAATAAGAGTTTAACTCGCCGCCCGAGGTAAGTAGTTCGAACCCGCAAGTAAAAACTTTTGAACGGATGACTCGTCCCCCGAGGTCGGAGTGTGATGCACTTGGAAAGGGTAAGAGCACACAAGAACTCGTATGAAGTCAAGAGTGTGCGGTATTAACATTTATATTGAAGCTTATTAATCGCCACACCCATATGACGTGACCCGGTGGCGTGAGTGTGTGTGCCCGGCCAGTGTACGAGTGTGTGTGCTCGCCCGGTGTACGTGAGTGATCGGATTTCACAAGCCCGTTTTTCAATGTTAAAATTACACACGCTTAACAAGAGTAAAAGCAATTAAACCACTTAAAATATCTTTTCAAATGTTTGAATTTATGATTTTTTTTGTATCAAATATAGGGGATTTTTGGAAACTTAGCTTTAGAGCCAAACAGGCCCGAATGCGTTGCTGAAAATTCAGCCCATCATCCTTGAGGAGAATCAAATTTGGTCTTAGTGTAATCTTGGTCCATCCACTTTAACGCAGAGCAGACTCTTGCTCCATAGGAATTAGGTGGGCGCACATTTGAAGGCCTATCTCATGAATAGGCATGGCGATGAGGGAGACCAGCAGCGACGTCGTCGCATGACATCCAACTGTGATTGGCGAAGAGAACAGGAGGAAGTGAGATTGTAGCACCTTGGATTTGGATGAATTTTTCTTGAATTTTTTCCTACTAAAGTGATGTAAGAGATCAATAGAGGCTCTCAATGAAAGCACCAATGTTGGTCCAAAATAGGACGCTCGTAAGCTTTTAAGAAAGCTACGTATGACACTCAAGCGGGAATCAAGAAAATAATATGAATAAGGAAAGTTGCAAAGGGGATTTGGTAGCCAGAAATAACATATAGAAGTTGCTTCCCCTAATCTGAATTACAACCCGCCTTTTATAGGCGTATACAAATCGTAACCGTTACCGATAATAATGACTAATTAATTACAACATTAATACGGAATTAAATACATAATTAATAGCGCATTAATTGTTCGACCGTTACTCTTCCGGACTAGGAGGTCGGCTGGACTGGCAAGCTCCCCACCGGGCTGGCAGGCAGGCTCCAGGTTATGGACTTGGATCCATGAATCCCAGTTCGGGCCTTGGGCTGATTAGGCTCTGGGCCTAGTCCCATTACTCCATCAACTTATTTTGTACTCCCTATATTGTTTGAATGGGCCGGGTTTGGGTTAATTAGAGGAATAAACACTATTTTAACTATTGCGTGCGTAATACGTACTAGAGACAAGCTTATTTAATTAAGGAGATGTATATCTGTGGTGCTAGGACATGTGTTCAAGATCAGGAGGAGGTTGGAGCGGCGGCGGCGGCGGGCCTGATTCCAAGGCGCCATGTGCAGCATGCAAGCAGCTGAGGAGGAAATGCACGGCGGAGTGCAATTTCGCGCCATACTTCCCGCCCGAGGAGCCTCACAAGTTCGCCAATGTGCACAGGATCTTCGGGGCTAGCAACGTCAGCAAGCTGTTGAACCACATCCCACCCCACCAGAGGCAAGACGCCGTCAACTGCCTTGCCTACGAAGCCCACGCTCGGACCCGGGACCCCGTCCACGGCTGCGTCGGCGCCATCTCCCTCCTCCATGCCCAGCTCCTTCTCCTCCAGAAGGAGCTCGACGACACCAACGCCCACTTGGTGCGATACACCGCCGCCCGCCCCGAGATAACAATGTTCAATCACCAACCGTCCACCGCCGCCGCCGCCGCTTTTGATCATCAAGAACGTGTTACCAACGTTGTTGGTCACGACATCGTCAATAACCATCAACCATATGGAGGGATGGCGCCTTTATTTACGCCCGCCGCCGATCAATCATTATCATTTGACCACTCCGAGGTTGAAGATCCTGCTGATATCTAGCTGGCAGCATTGATTCATATGAGACTCAGCCGGCAGTGGGTCAACCTAATTTCATGATCGAATGTTTAGTTTTTTGATATACAAGTAGATACACTAATGTTACCTCCATCCCTTAAAACTTTGCCAAAGTTGACCGGCACGGAGAATAATAAAGTAAAAACTGTGTGGTTGAGGTTTGTGCAGAGGAGAGAGAAATAACAGAAACCACAAAATAATTGATTAAAAGGGAAAGTGGAAAAGTTTTTTGGGACGTCCCAAAAAGGAAAGATGGCAAAGTTTTAAGGGACGGAGGAAGTAATTAATATTATTACTTACTCCCTCCGATCCTTAATTAACTTTACACTTTTCTTTTTGGATCGTCTCGTATTAAACTTTACATATCTTTATTTGTCTTATTTGACAAACAAATCTACACGAAACAGTGCAAAAAAGTGACAAGCAGTGTCAAACAGTGCCAAACAGTGTATTCTACAGTAAAGTCAAATTTATTTCCTTAATATGTCTGAAGTCAAACTTCAAAGTTTAATAAGGACCGGAATGAGTATATAAAAGTAAAGATTTCTTTGCCCTAAATAGGATTAAAATGTTGCTTAAATTCCCAAATAGGAATAAGTATATTTGTATTCCCTAAATAGGACTATTGTACTAATTTACCCCTCAATTCAATTCTATCGTGCAACACCCTTCCTTGTTTTCTACTCACACCTGCGCACCTCTTTGTTTTCAACCCGTACCTGCGCAACTCTACCACAAGGAGCATTTCAATGTGACGAACAGAGGCAAAACGAACAGCAGCGGCGAACAACAGCGAGCGACAGAGATCGGCGAAGGTGCGGTGACGAGTGGCAGCGAGTGACAAGTGGTGAAGGAGCGGCGGCGAGCGGCGGCGAGCAGTGAGCAACGACCGGTGATGAGCTTAAGTTCATAGCCTTTGTGGAATTAAGGCACATGGTTCTCCCTGTCTCTTGCTTCTTCTTCGTCTTCCTCAATACCTCCTCTCTGTTCCGTTTCTCTTTTTCCCCCTCTTCCTAAGTTCAGTTGCAATTGACGATGACAAACAATTAATGTTCATCTTCTTCATTTGGTTTGATTTTTATAGAAATGCCATACTTTATTTAAAAATTCCATTAAAATGGCATTTTAACTCTTCAAAAATGCCATTAAATTGGCATTTTAACTCTTCAAAAATACCATATTTTCTTTTGAAAATGACATTAACATGGCAGTTTTTATTCATGCTGGCATTCATATAATATTGTTGGCATCAGTGACGTAGACCGTGAGATCTGCACTGGCGGAGGTCGGATCCGCATAGGTAGTGGCCGGATCGGGCAGCGGTCAGATTTACAGCGGAGGCAGCTAGATCTATGGCCGTGGTGGCCAAATCTACGGCGGCGATGACCAGATCTGAACCGACGGCAACCAGATGTGTAGCGGTGATCAATTCTCCGGCGTCCGGCGTCCGACGACCGGCGACCGACGGAGGTTCAGTGTCCTGCTTTGCCAAGCATCAGGGTAATTATGTCCAACTCCAAAAAATAGCTCCTATTCAGGAAAATATTAAATATTACTCCTATTCTAGCAATAAATGATTTATTTAGTCTTATGCAGGGAATTATCCCAAAAGTAAAATACTATCACGTCCGTAAATAAATAAAAAACTCAATTACTATTCTTCGATAGTATTTTTTAGAAAAATCCCTAAATAGGAGTAAAAAGTTTTGAAATTCCAAAATAGGACTCACGTTTTTTATTCGCTAAATAGGAGTAAATTTCTGCCAAGTTTGACATTACTATGCTTTTAAACATGGCATTTTTTTCAAACTTGGCAGATTACTCCTATTCAAGGAATAAAAAGCCACTAGAAGAAATAGTACCATTTGCGCCAACACTTTTAGCGTCGACGTTAGTGGACGCAAATAACATACATTTTGCGTCGACAAGTCGACGCGAATAACATTGAGTATTGATCCGGAAAATAATTCGATGTTTTCAAATTTGCGTCGACAAGTCGTCGCAAAGTAGGCCGATTTTTTTTAAACATTAGCGTCGATGATGTAGACGCAAAAGCTGAAACGTAGAAATATAAAAAAAAGGCAAACTTAAAAGAAAATAGCAGCTCCCGTACGTCTAGGGCAAAATAGCACAAGCCCAAAACTGTCTGGCTCTAATCTAAAGCAAAGAACCGCAGCCCCTAATCGACAGAGTCACAGAAACGACATCCAACCGTTCCGACGCATAGAGACTGCATCGCCGCTCCACGCTCGCCCGCTACAGCGCTCCGCCATCTGGTGCTCACCATCTGCTTCTTCTCTCGAGCCTTGACGACTCCACTGCTCGTCACCAATTGAAGCTTTCATTTTCTATTAAGCTACGATTGTCGAATTGAACTTGTTTGGGACAAGATGCTCTTTAATAAAAAAAGTTTAGCCATCGAGAGGATACTGATATGCACTAGTTTATAGTGCATAAATATATGTTTTTGTAATTACTTTGTGTAGATTTTCTATCATCTTTAGTTAGTTTGTAAACATTTGTTTTATGTTGTTTGTAATTGTTTTTAGCTTTCATGTGTAGTTGTAGAATAGTGGTATTGTTTTTAGCAAGAAAAAGGGGAGAAAAACTGAAGACAAAAAGGGCCAGGAGCACAAAACCCGGACGGATCAGACCCTGAACCCGGTCGGGTCTGATTCAACAACCGTAAGTGCCTGGAAAGTGCACTCACCCGATCGGGTTCCCTACCCCACCCGGTCGGGTCTGACTTGTCCCGGGACACTTTAACATGCCGAAGATCACCAGAACGTGAAGGATATTTGATTTTGACATGCACCCGGTCGGGTGGACACTTTACCCGGTCGGGTACCCGGCCAAAGGTGTTGTAAAACACCTATAAATAGCCCCATTTTCCTTCACTTTTAATAATCCATTCTTCTATACTCCTAAGCTCAGTTTAGAATAGCAATTCTTATATTTTTATAGCATGTTTAGTTTCCAAATGAGGAGCTAAACTTCCATTTCTTGGTTTTTCTCTTGAAGCTTGTTGATTATTAAAGTTGTGAGTTATTTTCTTAACTTCTTCTCTTGATTATTAATTCTTCCCTTAATCTCATTCTATATTAATGTTGGAGGGTTGCTAAGTGACGATTAGTTAACGTTTCGACATTAATTACTACTAGAAACGATCAACGAACCGATGGTTAATCGTTGGTGGTTTCACAAGTAAGTAACTTCGGTTTATTAATGAACGGTCGTGGTTAATAGACTTAAGAGGGATCAATTTTGTTGGTTAAACCGAAACCGTTGTATTGGGGTTATCAATCTCAATTTATTTCATCAAAGAGTTAAAAAGATTGAATGCTACTATTATATCGGTATACGGCGTTGTTCTATATTTGATTAATAGTAAGGGTTATTAATGAACGGTCGTTGTTAATGACTACCCTCGATGAATTGGAGATACTCCTCGATTGAGTATTCGAGAGCGGATAAGTTATAGATATAACAAGGATCGACTAATATATATCAACAAGTGGAAAGTAGCAAAGCCAAGTCCCTTTTTATTCTTGAATTAAATCTCATATAAGTCGTTCATCTTAGTTTTTAATTTAATTAAATCATTCATCACAAAAAGCCCCTTTATTTACTAAGTTTCATAAAAAGAGAATTATTCCTTTCCTTGTGGATACGAACTCTACTTCACCTACACTACGGTTAAGGATTTCCTTTTGAATCCTAGAAACCAAGAAGTCAAGGTCTGCGGCATATGCACACAGCAAGGGCATCCAACCGATTCTTGCGCAACTCTCCAAGAAGAACAAGTCAATGCCTTGGGTTTTCAGTCTCATCAACAAAAGAGGTACGATCCAGACTCTAACACTTACAACCCCGGGTGGAGAGATCACCCGAATTTGAGATATGGGAACCCTCAACCACAACAAAATCAGCCCTCCCAACAATCCTTCTCAAATCACCAAGGCCAAACCTCAAGCTCAAATATGTCCACCGAAGACATGATCCGAGCACTTGCTACAAATTATTCAACGATGCAACAAAGTTTGGCTCAGTTCCAAGAAACGACGAAATCTAGCATCCAAAACTTGGAAAATCAATTGAGCCAAATTTCGAGTGCTGTGAACCGGCTTGAGGCAAAAGATTCGGGTAGACTCCTCTCTCAAACGGAGCAAAACCCGAGACAGCATGTTAATGCAATAATGTTGAGGAGTGGGACGACATTGAAAGAGGTGCATAAGGAAGAAGGGCAAGATAAAAAGGAGGTTGGCCTTGAAGAAGACTTTCAACCGGAAGAGAGGACCATAAAAGCAATGTTTCCACCATTGTCCTCATATGAACCACTACCCCCATTCCCCGAAGCACTGAAGGAAACAAGGAAGCTGGAGAAAGATGCTGACATGTATGAGACTTTTGCCAAATGTGAGGTAAACATTCCGCTCCTTAACTTAATTAAAAGTGTTCCCCGTTTTGCTAATTTTTTAAAAGAATTATGCACAATTAAAAGAAAAAGCAAATTAAAGGGAAAACAAAAGGTGGAGATTAGTGAACGTGTCTCGGCGATATTTCAAAAGAAACTCCCCGAGAAATGTAGCGATCCGCATGTTCACAATCCCATGCAAAATAGGGGACATTTTATTTCCGAGGGCCTTATTGGATTTAGGGGCCTCGATCAATGTTTGATTTATGTTGATTGTTTGACATTTTATTTAGTTTGTAAACATTTATGTGATTTCAGTTGTAATTGTATTTTATTCTTTATTTATAAGTTGTAAAGTTTAGTTACGATTTGTGGTGTTAGAAAGGAAGACTTTGAAGAGAAGAAAACAAGAAATTTGACTGCCCAGGAGTGAAACCCGGCCGGGTAGAAACCCCCACCCAGTCGGGTATGATTTAACAGACGAAATTGCCAAGAAAGTCACTGGACCCGGTCGGATCCCCTACTTGACCCGGTCGGGTCAGATGTGACCCGGAACAAAATGATGTGCGAAGATCACCAGAACGTGGCGGATTATCTGATTTTGACCGGACCCGGTCGGGTAAGTACTTGACCTGGTCGGGTACCCGGCCAAAGGTGTTGAAAAACACCTATAAATAACACACTTTTTCTTCTCTAAAAATCATCCCTTCTTTCATACTCCTAAGCTCAGTTTAGAATAGCATTTCTTTATATTTTTATAGCATGTTTAGTCTCCAAATGAGGAGCTAAACTTCTATTTCTTGGTGTTGCTCTTGAAGCTTGTTGATTATTAAAGTTGTAAGTTATTTTCTTAACTTCTTTCCTTGAATATTAATTAATAGTTCTTTCCTTAATACCATCTCTATATTAATGTTGTGGAGTGTTGCAAATATGACAATTAGTTAACATCTCGACATTAGTTAGAATAGTATTTTCTTCCTCTATATTAATGTTGGGGAGTGTTGCTAAGATGACAATTAGTTAACATCTTGATATTAATTATAGTAGGATTCATCTTCTTTAATAATATTATTCCTTGAATATTAATTAATTCCTACTCATATTTTATATTAATATTTTGAACATTACTTAAAGGATCAACTAGTTTTGTTTCATATATTAATTATTACTAGAAACGATCAACGAACCGATGGTTAATCGTTGATGGTTTCACAAGTAAGTAACTTCGGTTTATTAATGCACGGTCGTGGTTAATAAACTTAACAAGGATTAATTTTGTTGGTTAAACCGAAACCGTTGTGTTGAGGTTATCAATCTCAATTGATTTTATCAAGGAGTTAGGAAGATTAAATGCTACTATTAAATCGGTATAAGGCGTTGTTCTATATTTGATTAATAGTAAGGGTTATTAATGAACGGTTGTTGTTAATAACTATCCTCGATGAAGTGGATATACTCCCCGATTGAGTATTCGAGAGGGAATAAGTTATAGAAATAACAATGATCGACTAAAATATATCAACAAGTGGAAAGTAGCAATGCCAAGTCCTTTTTATTCTTGAATTAAACACATATAGGTTGTTCATCTTAGTTTCTTAATTAAATCATTCAAAACCAAAACCCCCCTTTTTAATTACTAGTTTCATAAAAAGAGAATCATTCCTTTCCATGTGGATACGAACTCTACTACGATATACTACGTATAAGTGTTTAATATTGAATTTATTTTGACGCACCGTGACAAAATGCTCGTCAAATTTGGCGCCGTTGCCGGGGAAAGGCAATTACTTTTCTTTTTATTTTTTCTCATAAAAATAAAAAACAATATATATATATATATATATATATATATATATATATATATATATATATATAATCTTGCTCTTCTATTTGCTGAACTTACATGAGTTATGAGTATATGGATACCAACACTTCATCCTTAGAGAGTCAAATTTCCTTCTTGACTTCTCTAATAAAGGAATCTATCTTTAACTCAAAAGCTCAAGATGTCAAGACATGCAACATTTGCATGTCTCACAGGCATCTCATGGACTTCTGCCCAAAGCTCCAAGAAGAATACCTTGCACAAATTGATGATGTATCTCACATGAGGTATGATCCATTCTCCAACTCTAATATATCCACGGAGGACATGGTTCGGGCTCTTACTAACAGTGTGACCGCCATGCAACAAAACATGGTGCAATTCCAAAATGAGACCAAGTCTAGCTTTTTGAACTTGGAAACTCAAATGAGTCAAATAGCCGGAGTCGTGAGTAGGCTTGAAGCAATGGATTCAGAAAAACCTCCTTCTCAACTAGAATGTGATCCTAGACAACAAACTTTTGCAATCACATTGACAAATGAAGAGGAAATGCAAAAGGAGAACCAGAATCCAGGAGAAGTAGAGGAAGAAAAAGACACGGAGCTCCAACTGGTCAAAGAAGAGGATAATCTGAGCTTCAAAGTTAAATATCTATCCTTGTCATCTTTTGAGGTACCCCCATCAATTCTAAAAATTTTGAGGGAAACTCATAAACTTGGAAAGACAATGACATTTCTGAAATCCTCTTCAAAATTGAGGGATCGAAAAACTTTTCATTGACCATAGTAAACGATAATTTCTTCCCTTTCCTCCCACCGCATGAATCAATGACAATCTGGATATTTGATCCTAGAAAGATTCCCAAATTGAAGAGTCGAGAAGTTGAGCAATCCTATGAACGTCCTAGGAGTGAAAGTGTGAAAAAGATAAACTATCATGATCCAAGTTTGAATGACTGAATACAATGATGGCGTCGTGCCGCGACGTTAAATCAGGCGCTTCTTGGGAGGCAACCCATGCAAGGTACGTTTACTTGTTTTATTTTAGTTTTACACATTTAAAAAAAAAAAACGACATGTGATTGAACCCGGACGGGTATAAAACCCTACCCGGTCGGGTTACCTCTTAAAACACAGCACCCGGCCAACCGCCCGGACGAGGCAGATGAAGAACAAAGAATAAATCATCCGCCCGACCGGGTAGATCCCTATACCCGGCCGGGCAACCCAGCAAAAAACTCCCTGCCTCGGGTGAACAGCTTACGCCCGACCGAGTCAGTCACTATACCCGTTCGGGCGGTCGGGCAAAAGCCCGATAAGGATGTGGGCGGGCAACTTTTCTTCCCCATTTTCTTTTCTTCCCATTCGAACCAAACCCCAAATTTCATTCATCACCTCTTCACCCTTTTCATCTCCACACCCACGAATCACCAACAAAACCTCCCAAAAAGTAACAAAAAAAAAACATTCATCTCAAACACAAGCACTAGGGACAGTGCTTTGATTAGCTTGGGGGGAGAGTTTTATGGAATACTCACATTCATACTCTTTATTCTTGTAAAAAAAATTATAAAAGCTTTTTAAGTTGAAAACCCGAAAGGGCAACTTAAGCAAAAATAAAGCAAAAATAAGAATGAGTTGTGAGGATTAAAACATAAAAATGTGGGAAGCTGGGATGAAAATCCGAAAGGGCACCTAGGCAAAATGAGAGAACGAGAGAAAGTATTTTCTTTTATTTCTGCAGGATCCTAAGGGTAACGAAAAAAAAAAAGTTGAGGTTGATAAAGAAAAATGGAGTTGAAGACCCTCTTTACTATTATATTTTTGGAAAACCCTGGGCAGTCAAATTTCTTGTTTTCTTCTCTTCAAAGTCTTCCTTTCCAACACCACAAATCCTAACTAAACTTTACAACTTATAAATAAAGAATAAAATACAATTACAACTGAAATCACATAAATGTTTACAAAATAAATAAAATGTCAAACAATCAACATAAATCAAACATAAAAACATATAATTATGCACTACTAATTAGTGTGCATCAAACACCCCCACACTTAAACCTTTACTCGTCCCGAGTAAATCAAATCCGGTCCAAGAAGTCCTTAAAATGACAAGAATATCAACACACACATCCACGAGCGTTTTTAGAAACACATAAAGTATATCCCCAAAAATATAATAGTAAAGAGGGTCTTCAACTCCATATTTCTTTATCAACCTCAACCTTTTTTTTTCCGTTACCCTTAGGATCCTGCAGAAATAAAAGAAAATACTTTCTCTCGTTCACTCATTTTGCCTAGGTGCCTTTTCGGGGTTTCATCCCAGCTTCCCACATTTTTCTGTTTTAATCCTCACAACTCATTCTTATTTTTGCTTTATTTTTGCTTAAGTTGCCCTTTCGGGTTTTCAACTTAACAAGCTTTTATAATTTTTTTACAAGAATAAAGAGTATGAATGTGAGTATTCCATAAAACTCTCCCCCAAGCTAATCAAAGCACTGTCCCTAGTGCTTGTGTCTGAGATGAATGTTTTTTTTTGTTACTTTTTGGGAGGTTTTGTTGGTGATTCGTGGGTGTGGAGATGAAAAGGGTGAAGTGGTGATGAATGAAATGGGTTTAATTGGTGGATGGATGTAGGAGATATGAAGCTTTTGACTTTTGGAAATAGAGGAAATTTGGGGTGTGGCTCGAATGGGAAGAAAAGAAAATGGGGAAGAAAAGCTGCCCGCCCGCATCCTTATCGGGCTTTTGCCCGACCGGGTATAGTGACCGACCCGGTCGGGCGTAAGTTGTTCACCCGAGGCAGGGAGTTTTTTGCTGGGTTGCCCGGTCGGGTATAGGGGTCTACCCGGTCGGGCGGTTGATTTGTTCTTTGTTCTTCATCTGCCTCACCCGGGCAGTTGGGCGGGTGCTGTGTTTTAAGAGGTAACCCGACCGGGTAGGGTTTTATACCCGTCTGGGTTCAATCACAGGTCATTTTTTTTGTTTTTTTTTGAAATGTGTAAAAATAAAATAAAACAAGTAAACGTACCTTGCATGGGTTGCCTCCCAAGAAGCGCCTTATTTAACGTCGCGGCACGACGCCATCATTGTGTTCAGTCATTCAAACTTGGATCATGATAGTTTATCTTTTTCACACTTTCACTCCTAGGACGTTCATAGGAGTGCTCAACTTCTCGACTCTTCAATTTGGGAATCTTTCAGGGATCAAATATCCAGATTGTCATTGATTCATGCGGTGGGAGGAAAGGGAAGAAATTATCGTTTACTATGGTCAATGAAAAGTTTTTCGATCCCTCAATTTTGAAGAGGATTTCAGAAATGTCATTGTCCTTTCCAAGTTTATGAGTTTCCCTCAAAATTTTTAGAATTGATGGGGGTACCTCAAAAGATGACAAGGATAGATATTTAACCTTGAAGCTCAGATTATCCTCTTCTTTGACCAGTTGGAGCTCCGTGTCTTTTTCTTCCTCTACTTCTCATGGATTCTGGATCTCTATTTGCATTTCCTCTTCATTTGTCAATGTGATTGCAAAAGTTTGCTGTCTAGGATCACATTCTAGTTGAGAAGAAGGTTTTTCTGAATCCCTTACTTCAAGCCTACTCACGACTCCGGCTATTTGACTCATTTGACTTTCCAAGTTCAAAATGCTAGACTTGGTCTCATTTTGGAATTGCACCATGTTTTGTTGCATGGCGGTCACACTGTTAGTAAGAGCCCGAACCATGTCCTCCGTGGATATATTAGAGTTGGAGAATGGATCATACCTCATGTGAGATACATCATCAATTTGTGCAAGGTATTCTTCTTGGAGCTTTGGGCAGAAGTCCATGAGATGCCTGTGAGACATGCAAATGTTGCATGTCTTGGCGTCTTGAGCTTTTGAGTTAAAAATAGATTCCTTTATTAGAGAAGTCAAGAAAGAAATTTGACTCTCTAAGGATGAAGTGTTGGTATCCATATACTCATAACTCATGTAAGCTCAACAAATAGAAGATCAAGATTTTATATATATATATATATTTTTGTTTTTTATTTTTATGAGAAAAAATAAAAAGAAAAGTAATTGCCTTTCC